AAAAAAAAAAAACGATACCCAACCCTAGTTCTCGGAGCTGATTTTTCTTTTAGATCGCCCTCCGTGGGAGATTCTGATCAGAAAAGTTCTGCTATCTCAGCTTCAAGGCAAGATCTGACACCCTCAACCCGAGATCTGGAAGCTGTGGGTATGGCCCATAAAAGGCCACCAGCTTTTACTTATAGTCTTCCTGCTGATGTTAAGGAGCCTGTCGCTAGTGCCAGAGCCCTTTCCACGAGGAGGCTGCATTCCTCCAAGTGGAAGGTCTTTGAGTCATGGTGCTTAGCCCATGCGGTGGACCCAGTCAGCTGCCCTGTAGGTCCAGTGCTGGAGTGCCTGCAAGAAAAATTTGCGGTGGGAGCGGTTGCTACTACCCTGAGAGTTTATGTCGTGGCATCGCCTCTCGGAGAGAGTTGGATGAAGTTAATCTGGGGAGACATCAGTTTGTCTCCATGTTTATGCATGGGGTTCGGTGTCTGAAGCCAGCATGCACCCTTGGAGTTCCTTCTTGGGACATGTCAGTCGTCTTGGAGGGCTTAATGGAAGCTCCTTTTGAGCCCTTGGAGTCAGCTCCAGAGTGGATTTTGACTCTCAAGGTTACTCTTTTGCTGGCGCTAACTTCTTTGAAGTTGGGGATTTGCAAGCTCTTTCTGTCAGCGAGGCGTGTATGGACTTCGCACCGGGTCTGGTCAAAGTAACCTTACGACCCAGGTCGGGCTATGTTCCCAAGGTTTTGTCCACATCATTTTGCTCTCAGGTGGTTACCCTTCACTCTTTCCATCCTCCTCCTTTTGCTTCAGGCGAGGATGTGAGACTTCACATGCTCTGCCCTGTACAAGCTTTGAAGCTCTACATGGACCGCTCTAGCGCTTTAGCTTGGCGTGTTTGGTATATCGTTCCCATTGCGTCATAGCTACGCAGCGTCGAGTGAACCTATGAAAGAGAACGTCTCGGGTTACTTGCATAACCCATGTTCTCTGAGTAGGGAACAAGATGCTGCGTCTGCTGCCAAGCTCCTCGTGCTGCCGAAAAGAGGCCTTTTTCGGCAGAGAAATCTGAGGAGCAGATGGCGCGTTCACCAGTATAAGGATGGCGACATAAGAGCGTCGAGGCAGCGCCCACGCCATCAGCCAATTTATTACCATGATTCTATACGGGCTTCAGACAATCGGCACACACAGAGGGCGTTCCCATTGCGTCATAGCTACGTAGCGTCTCGTTCCCTACTCAGAGAACATGGGTTACGCAAGTAACCCGAGACATTTTGGACTGTTTTTTCTTGTAAACAGTGCTTGATCTGTGCACATTTGTCTACTGATTCAGACCAGAGAACTTTTTCACTGGAGAAACAATATTGCAGTACATATCGTATTTATAATATATTACTGGTTTGAAGTTAAAAGCCTCTTAGGGTGCTTTCACACCTGGCCTGTTGTTTCGGAACCTGCCGCATTTCCCCCCTCAGCTCGGCTTGTTTGGGCATATCAACAAGACAATCGCGCCAAAACAATCGGTCCGAGATCGCCTGAACGAGGTGGTCTCGGCTCGATTGAAAACGAACTCTGGAGCGGTTCGGTTATAGTGGGACTCCTGCTCAAAATTATAAATTATGATAACGACAGCTACAAAAAAACCCAACAATAAGCCCGCGAAGCTGTTGTCGTTCTATCCTGACGGATGACAGCTGTGACAGCTAAGTGGAATCCCGGAAAATAAACCGTGGAACTTTGACCAATGAGACAACAGTTTACTCGCGCGTGACTTGTATTAACAAATTTGGTCCGTTTAGAAACTTTGCCGTGTGAAAGCGAACCGCACCAAGAATAAAAAGCAACATTGTAATAATTTTAATCCCTGTTTCGGAACAAAGCAATCGATCTACAGGTGTGAAAGCACCCTAAAAGACAGGTTTGTTTCTTACAAACATGCAGCTTTCTGTTTCACATTATGTTAATTGATGGACTGGAGTGGTGTTGATTACTTGTGGATTATTGTGATGTTTTTATCAGCTGTTTGGACTCTCTTTCTGACGGCACCCATTCACTGCAGAGGATCCATTGATAAGCAAGTGATGGAATGACAAATTTCTCCATATATGTTCCCATGAAGAAACAAACTCATATACATCTTGGATTGGGTGAACTATTCCTTTAAAAAGGAACATGAACAAACATTGTTATACTGCATGACACAACAGAGCGGATTACAGAATGTGCTTTATTCATGACCTCGGTGACCTTTCACAAGCGCTTGTATTGTAAACATCGCTCTGATATAAATAAAGGCGCATGGATGTTTGATACGTCACAATGACATCTGACAATGACAACAATCATAACATGAAAGTTCAAACAATGTATTATATTTACATAATAAATACAGGTCTGAGATCATTGACAACATCAGATATAATGCTTAAATGGCATTCTAAAGTGTGTATTTAGGGTTTATGTCCTTGTCACTTTTTCAAAACCAAGGTGTATTCACCTCTCTTATGTTAAAAGATGATAAACTGGTTTGTACAAGAAACAGGCAGACCGAACTCTTCTCTGAACCAGGTAGACAACTTCATTCAGTCGTTGAATTACATGAACAATGCTTAAGCTACAAACCACTGATTTACTACAAACACAACCATACTATTATACACTTGTGTTAATTGTATTTAATCTTGAAATGTAATGCAGATGAAATTAAATTAAAGGCCACTTAAGTGTACTTGAAGAGAGTTCACTTTCTTGACTATGTCTCTTTACGGCAATTAAGTAAAATTTTTAAAAAGTGCATTTTGCAATCATCTCAAATCAAAAGTTTGAAAGTACATTTTAAATCATTATTTTAATAATATTTTATCAACTAAAGCACGTCAAATACAGAATCATAGTTTTAACTGTAATTAGTAATGTTACATTTCAAGATCATATATTTTAAATGACTAAATTATACCATTATTACAAATATATTTAAATACATGATATACACGTTTTAGAAATGACATTAAAATATATTTTAGTGTAAATCAGGACATTTAGCAGCTCACTAATCATATTTCAATGACAGTAGAAGTAATTGTGAAATTACTGTACACTACTAAAGTGAGTTAAAAAACACTCTAAAGGTCATCTAACTGCATTTAATATATGTACATTTAAACGATCATACATTTTCATTAGCATGCAATGAAGTGTATTCTTTGAATATTATTTCCGTATTAAGTACTCTTTTTAAAAGTGTGTCAAAGAGTACTTCCTTCTCTTTGACTCACAAGTTTTAGCACTAATGTTGTGCAGTGGTGTCCATTGTGGAGTCCTTGGAAACTAATTGCAAATGTCAGTAACCACATGGTTTCAATGCCATCTGAAAACAATTATGAATCTACACAGATTCTGTTGCACCACAACCACACACACCTAAAAAATAAATGTAAATGTATTAATATTATGACCAGTAGGACACAGCAACATTGGGTCAACCTGAATTTGGGGACTGAGAGACTGTTCAGGAAGACAAATATGAATATTTAAAAGTTTGTATTTAAATGCACAATAACTAATAAACTGTTCAGCATGCTATTTTAAGTGCTATTCTAATGTCATTAAACATATTATTATTATTATTATTATTATTATTATTAACACAGTATATAATATAATAAATTGCTGTTATTATTATTATAAATTAATAATACATTACAATATATTACAACTACACAGACTTTCTTGCTATCATCATCTTGCGCAGATCTAATAAAAAAAAATTACTATGAAGGTCATGTTTCGCGAAAGGGCGCTACGTTATGCCCCCCCCCCCCC